GTTGTTATGTTCAATAGAAATTATTAAAACTTATTACATATAACTTATTAAAACAACTACAAAATGTTATCACTGTGGATTTCATTAAGATGTTTCCTAAAGTTTAAAAATAATAGTATTGGTAACAAAACTAAACGATTTTGTWAGAATGTCGTCTTTAACACGTTTAAACATGCCGGTGGAGAACAGTTTCAGTCAGATGTTTACATACAGTAGTTTGGTTCGAGTGCCTAACGAGACGCTCGTCAAGCCCTGCTTCGTTTTCGCTACCACGTAGGAGCGCAAGTCTTTGCAAACAAAAGTCGCCATGGTCTCTGTTATCTTTAAGATCTGCWGAGAGTCATCTGGTAATGTTAGTGATTCCTTAGTTTCTTTTGTTTTGATCCAGACAACTTGTTATCGAAAGCTAATGTTAGCACTGAACGTCAACCGGATGTAAATATACGGCAAGCCAGGAGTGACAAATATAGAAACACACTTCAGATGCGTGCAAGACGCCGTGGGGAAGAATCGATCTCATGTCCTGTGAATCGATTTTCCCAAATTTAAAAGAAATCGATCCAAGACCGATTAAATCAATTGTTTTTAACCCAGCCCTAGAAATGACAGAGCAAGAGATGTGGTTGTGAGAGTCGACAGTTCGATCAGCTACGGTACCAGAGGTCTGTCAGGTAAATCTCCGCGATGGAGCAGTAGGCCACGCTGACATCCTTTGCTGTAGGGAGCTCGTGGTTCTCATCGGTTGTGGCAGCTGCTTTAGCCTGAATATAGAAAAAAATGACAAAAAGGAAAAAAACAAATGAGACGAGACCTTAAYACCAATAGGCAGACTTCATTATTTATTATATAATTGCAGAAGCATCCTATAACTATAGAAAACATCACTTAAATCAGCCTGTTGCTACATCAGAGTTTTAGGGCCACGCTACAAAATTCCTTTTTTATTTATTTTTTATTATGAGATTATATTACGAGGATAAATCTGAATATTTCATAACGCCCATTTTCTGTTCCTGGGTTGGCTCACAGCTGCTATGTGCATCTCTGTGTTTATGAAATAGTTGTCATTACTTTTCTTAATATTATGACTTTATTTACGATATATTATAACTTTAAAGTGCCTGTGACATGCGTAGTCTTCAGATACAAAAAAATCAAAGAAAACACACAATTTTACCTATTTTGGTAGCTAGCTAAATATTTAAGTTAAATATTTAGGTGGCTAGCTAAATATTTAACTTGTCAGCTAAATATTTAAGTTGCAAGCTAAATATTTAGCTTGTTAACTAAATATTTAATTTGTAAGTAAGCTATTTAGTTTATAAACTATGATGTTTATAAATGTATGAATCATATGGTGAAAAACTGACTTTGAAAAATAAAAATCTGTTCTTTTTTTCTTATAAAAGGCTAAATAAAACAAAAATATTGGTGGTAATTTTTTACAGTGTAACTTTACAAACGGCACCCCATACATCTTCTTTTCCTTTTCACTGATCCCTTTAGGGGTCATCAAGTCACATTAACATTGGCAACACACTAATACGTTAACATTGTAGTGGTGTTYGTTATCTTATATCTTTTTTTATAATGATTAGCTGAAAAACCTGTACATTAAAATATAAAAGAATGTTGCAAATGTTTACTTTATACAYTGTCCAATAGCACCCTCTTGTGAACAAATAAATAACTAGGTTTCGGTCTTATGTTGTATTTTATCCATCTTAAATTGGATATTTGTAAATTAATGAGCAACAAGGAGCTGTGTGTTCACTCACCATTGTTTCTTGTTTCTCTAGAGCAGACAGAACGACTTGTATTCCTCTGGTGTAGTAGTCCACAGCCTCCTGGCCGGTGTGGATTTGTCCCAGGTACATGTACTTACTGTGACCAACATCTGGACTCAACTCCACAGCACGGAGGAAAACTTGAGGCTCGGTAAAGGAAGACACAGTCATAAAGATATAATACAAAACCACATCGTTTTGGTGACTGGGCWAACGAACATTCATGCAACATTAAAAATAAAAAGGCGTAAAGGATATTTCTTTAGCTTTCTGTGTGTCTCCTAATTCAGAGCAAATGTGTCCCAGCATGTCAAGCGCTTGCAGGTTGTTGGAGTCCACATCCAAGGCTCGCTGACAGAAAAGGCCAGCCATGTCAAAGTCGAAACTATCCATACATTCCTGTGTCTGGGGGAAAAAAAACACACAAACACAAGAGTAAATACAAGCAAATGGCAGAAGGAAAATGTGATACTGTTCTTCCTGTGAATATTTTTTACAATACAACCTTCTCTAGGAGTTGCTGGGCTGAGTACTTCTYAGCTGTTTTCTTCTTGGCTTTCTCATGCATTCTGATTTTCATCCTGTCCTGGGGTGTCAAATTAACAACGCCTCCATCTGCTTGGATAAAAAAGKGTTCATAAAGCAGGTCATCATGTGGTCATAAAAAACAAACTATTTCAGATTTAACATGTGTAAAACCTTGTGTGAAAACAGCTGAATAAAAATCTGAACTAACCTCTATTTTGACGGTTGTCTTTCCTTTTGGGTTTATTTTTCTTCTTGTTTTTAGCCTGACCTCCCATACTACTATAAACTCTGTCTTATATTACCTCTATAAAAAACTTCTACCCTTGAAAAATGACTTTTATAAAACGTAAATTAATACACGCGTGTTAACCAGTACGAATTGCAGGAGGTATGTAATGCGCATGCGTAAAGACTGACACAAACACAACTACGGAAAGCAGCAATGGACAAAAGACCAAAAGGTCTTGAATGAGCATTTTTAACATGAAACGTAGCAATTTTTAAAGGGTTAGATTTTGAAGATTTGTCTATTAAACATATTCTGATAAGAAAGTAAATTTTGTTTTAAAATATAAATGTTATTGACAATTTTTACTGATTTCTTAAAGAATGCTTTAAATGAATTAAACCCGTGTTTGTAAGGAGACCTGACGCTATGATTGACAGGTATTTAAACCAATGAGATAACGCGTCCAAGCTGTGACGGCGGACGCATCTGGAACTTTCTGGATTTCAACCAATGGTGTGGTACGTTAATAGCACGTTTCCCCTTTTCATTTTTTACAATTCGTTGTAAATAAACGAATGACAGGGACGCGGCAGGCGGTGAAATTGCTCGTGAAATATACCTTTTACGAATTTCCAAATACTCGACTCGGTTTTAAGGTATTTGGATTTTATCTACATTACACTAATGACGAACTACACATCCGCTAAGTAAATATGCACCTCTCTGTAAGGGGCGAAGTAACTGAATGACAAAGCAATGTAGCTGAAAAGTGATAATGCTAAATATGCTGGTCCTGCCCGAGCCAGCTCAGCTGTTATTTTATTTTATTTATTTTGAGCTACAACAATTTCTAATAATCACCACGCTGTAGGATTTTATAGCAATTCTTTACATTGCCGTTCTTTGTTTCATTTCATTTGCTGTAATTATCAGACGTTAACGTAGCCTTTAGCATTTTTAGCTTGTTTGCAGACCGAGCGCGTGCACAACATAATTATTGTGGGCRAGTTACATTTTTTTAAAAAGCGTCACTTTAGCCGTAGATATACAGTTGTTTTGACTGTGCTCAATATTCCTTCCTCCCAAARCCTGATATCTTAAAGCATGTCTCTGTTCTGTCTCTGAAGGTTCATCCTTGCTGCTCCTGAAGGCAGAGTTGTGGCGCCCGGGTCCAGCCTGGTAGCTTGTGGCCAATGCCACAGGCACAAACTGCCCAGAGAGGTGGACTTTCAACTTCAAGAGGAGCTGTCAAGTTGGCCTCAGCAAACCTCATTTGTTTCCACTTGACTGTTGGACCATAAAGGGACTGTCTAAGAACTCAAAAACACTGAAGTTAACAAAAGATGTCGGAGTTCAATAAAGAGGTGATAGATTTGGTTTGGGAAAGACCCTCTGGTGGAAGTGTGTCCACCTCTATCTTTCGGAGATGGACCCAAGGTATACGTTTGTTGTTTTCTAATTTTAACCAGTCTTTTAGTTTTGTTTTTCATATTACCAAACATCTGACTTGACACATGTAGCATATTAGGATCTTAATCAGTGTGCATTGCCAATGCAATGCACATTATTGTGATTCGTTTCCCATCCAAGTCATCTCAACTTTGCCACGCTTCTCCTCCTGCATACTTTGTCCTACAGCTGCCATTGTAATTTCTATCTGTAAAGGTCCTGTGCCAAATGATTGCTATGCCTTTTGGTACCTGTACAACTTGTAGTTTTTCAAATATTAATGTTTAAACTTTATTCCAAATTCATATGAGAGTCAATGGGGCCTTGTAATGGTCCAGTACTGCCCACAGCTGTACTCAACTTGGTACTGCACCATAGTTTTTTATATTTAATCTCAATAGTTCAGTGTTTACAATACTAATATGATTGTATTTTGATGTTTTACTATAATATTGTCAATACTGCTCTATTGTGGTAATATTATGCATTTTTGTGTCAATAATTTTATTGGCAATGTGGCATCTTTCTGCACACATACAAAGCAACCCTTGCCACCACATTTTCCCACAGCTCCATTGGTCTAACGGTCTATGTCATGGACTTTCATGTGGGAGATCAGGGTTCAAAACCCAGCTAATGCAACTTTAACAAAAAATATCTTCAAACTTCATATTGTCACTCATTTACCTTAATTACAAACACCTGCTGATGTGRCAGGCACAAGCTGGTATAGAAAACACATTTGAACTTGGTCAAAGTTCATTCTGHAARYYCAATGCTGCAGGCAAAGCCATGCTGCAATGACATGCTACATGGCAATGCACACTTGTTTTTACATCGTAAAAACCCATGTCCATTGGCTCTCTGTTGTTGTTTTTCCTGTTCCTGCTTAAGACTGAATATTTGATTGTGATGTTGGTTTGTGGCACCTTTATGTTTTTTTTGTATTCTAGATGAATGAAATTAAGATCTCTGTTTAACAGGGTTCATGCCGGGTCTAAAAAAGTCTAAAATTTGAAAATCAAAATTTTTGACCTAAAAAAAGACTTTCAAATGCCCAGATTTTCATCCAAGGTCTTAAATTTAATTTTGTCAAGTCTTAATTTTTGATCCTTCCTGAGAACCGTTGGCTGCACAAATAAAGAAAGTTAAGAGTCGTAATCAGAAGTTGACACGATCTGTCTTCATAAAGTGCTAAGTTTGCTACTGGTCATGATTAAACTACAAATCCCATGATAACTGCAGGTAAAAATGGCACAGTTTTCTTCCATGTGTTTGACCTCTTTGCTGCTACAATCCCCCACATACAGGTGGCTTATTTACCTGCTCAAAAAACCAAAGTTCAGTCATGTTCACTGCTTGTTGTTTAAACATGGGAAGGTGTACTTTCAATGAGACTTGACCTGGTATCTGTGATTTTTTTCACTCGGTGGAAAGCGGTTCACAGCAGTCAGATATGACCATTCGAATAATTTAGTGTTCTTGTATTGAAATTAAATATTTTTAATAACTAAATTGATAGCAATAAAAAGTTTCTATGTTAAAATTTCTGGGACCATTTGAATGTTTCTGTTAATGCTTCGATTTGGTCTTAAATGTCATAACTAATGGTCTTAAAAGGTCTTAAAAAGGTCTTAAATTTAACTTACTGAAACCTGCATGAACACTGGTTTAATCAAATTATCTTTTATTTTTCAAAGGGTTTGTTTTCAGTGAGCATGAGAAAACAGCACTCGAGCAGTTTGAGGGAGGGCCATGTGCTGTCATTGCACCTGTCCAGGTATTTGAACCTCCTCACAGTATTCTCACAGCATCATTGTGCGTGGGCGTGTTTCTCAGTGCACCACAGTTTAAACGTCTGGTTATAATTACATTCTTAAGTTAAAATCAAAATCTTCCATTTTTTTTGCACAAGTTGAGTTTGACTTTTAAGGGTTTATTTTCAGGCTTTCCTCTTGAAGAACATCCTTTTTAATAGAGAAACTATGAACTGGAGGCAGATATCAGGTAACATATCTAAAACTGTTGACACTGCTGTTTCCTATATGTTGTAAATGTGTTTCCTGACACACACCACTTGTTATGTCTTTGTGTTAGAAGAGGAGCAGAAAACGGTCCTGTGTTCAACACTGAGCGAAATTCTCGAGTCTGCGTGTGCCAGCCCTTCCACGGGGTTCTGCCTGGTGACCTGGGCTAAGGGACAAAGCCCAAACACCAGCTCACACTCCAAGACACAGACACAGCCTCAAACACAGGATGGGCCAGAGAGCAGCCAGCCACATGAAGAACCACAACCCAGTTAGTCCTGTCATTTTGCATTTAGAATAATATCCGCTGCTCGTTCACTGACGCTTTGTTCTTACAATTAATGATTTAAAATAGAGAGTTTTAAAGATTGGATTTGAGGAAGTTTAAAGTTTTGCCCTAACAAATTAAATTTTTAATGTGTTTTCTTCTATGTAGCTGCTGTGGCTGCTGAGGAGCTTCGCTTTGATCAGTTTCACAGTGTACTCCAGTAAGTGGCCATGATTGTTTCAACATAAACTACATTGCATCATGGTATTTTTTCCCACAATATATGCTTTTGAAAGCATTCCAGTAAGCCAGGGATGTCCAAAGTGTGGCCCGGGGACCATTTGTGGCCCTTGAACTGATTTTGTGTGGCCCCTGACTTCAGTTCAAGAATTATACTAATTTGTTTACAAATTTGTCCCTCCGGCACAGGTGTTTGATGTAAATGGAGACTTTCTATTTATTATTACGGCAAATTTATCACAAAATAATATCTTACAATAAAAAAATATTTGCAACAATACCAATTAATTGTCTTTAAATGACCAGACTCTGGGTGTTTTCCACATCCATCTAGTGACTTCTACTGAAAAGCTGATGTTGTTGCACTATTAATTTATTAAATATGTCTGAATACAGCTGCATTTTTAACAAACGGGTGACCTAAATCCTGATTTTATTGATCAGAATTGACTAAATTTGGTTATTTTTTTTCCCCAATTGAAACCTAGAAAATTGCTAAATTTATTTCAATAAGGGAAACCTGCAAAACACTTTGAAAGTTCTGGATCTAGATTAATTTATGCATCCATTTCCAGCAATAAATCTGACTACTTTATTTGTTTAATTAAAGTATTCAGTGCTTAGTTTATTGTTGAGCAGGTAAAGGAAAAATATTTTTGGCCCTCAAGTCCTTCTGACTTTATGATTTTGGCCCATGTGACAAAATGTTTGGACACCCCTGCAGTAAGCCTTTAAAAATCTAAGTTAAATAATTGCCAAGTGCTGTATTTATATAAACTGCTTTTCTCTCCCCCCGAGTCTTATCAGCAGAAGAGGCTGTGTAGATTTGTCTTGGATTTCTTATTGAATTGGCTTGTTCATGCTGCTCACAATTTGCCAAATCAGCACTTTTATTGTTTGCCTAGGAAAAAAACCCTCACTATACTTCTTGCCATCAAAGACATACACGTTTAATGTATGCTGGACTCAGTTTGCTGGAGGAACATTGAAATTTCATCACACAGCTTGCTGGCAGCTGAGACCACAGTCAGCAGAATGTAACGCTGGCTCAGAGAGGTGCATGTTAACTAAGGCCGACAGCTTCACCGGCATTTTTTGTTTCTGAGGTTTGTAAAAAAAAAAAAGGAAATGAATTCTAATGAGTATTAACCAGATTTGTTGCTTCCCACTTTTGCGTTTGGTTATTTAGCCTTTTTAAAAGGCATCAAATCATAGCAAATACAATAAATGCATCAGTGATACGCTTTCACTTCCTGAAATCTAACCATATCTGTCTTGAGATTGCTTCTTAGATTATCCAGATATGCTTTTTTTTTGTCCTGCAGCAAGCGAACAGTCCTGTCGGTGGCTGACCTCAGAGAAGAAGTGCTGTCTCTCTACCACTCCTGGAGGGGGTGCTGTGGTGTCTTGCTTTTTCTTTATTCTGTCATCCTCACCAAGGTAAAGAAAAGAAAGTGTTAGAGAAAAAATATTGGACAGTGTTAAATACTTAGCAATGATAGCATTGGTGTCTACTGTTTTTATTAAGGGGTTTAAATAAAATATCCATTGTAGTAATAATAATAATTGACCAAAGCAGGCTGTTTTCATTTTAATGTAGATTGAATTACTGTTTGAACATGAATATTCTAACATAAATAATTTGCATCATGTTATTTTTATCTACATATTCCAATAATGCCTAATTTTGCAAAAAAAAATTATACACAGATTTTCTGTCTTTTTTCTCAGGGCACAGAAAATATTAGAAATGAGATCCAGGACCCAACAGAGCCTCTCATAGACCCTGTTCATGGTCATGGAAGGTAAAAAAAACAGAAACCCATCTCAGTCTTTTGTCTTCATTATTTAGATAATGTATATTGTTGCACAATACTGATGGGATTCATTTTAATGGTGAAATACTGTATATTATGTATGGACAGTATTATTTTACCACCACTGCAGACTGTTTGTTCTCTGGTATCTCTCACAGCCAGAGCCTGGTGAACCTCCTAGTAACTGGCCATGCTGTTTCTAATGTCTGGGATGGAGACAGGGAATGCTCCGGCATGAGTAAGAGTTGAACCTGTAATGATTAAATATGAAGTTGCTTCATGCACTGGCTTTGACTTAGCAAATTCAAATCAGACTTGCAGCATTCTTTCCCAGATTTAACCCATTTCCTTTGAGGGCAATCAATTTAAAATTCCACAGTGTTGCACAGAAATAATCCTTTCCAGTCTGACACCAAAAACCTTATTTGTAACATTTTTGTATTTCTTTTTTTTTTTTTCTTTTTTCTTACAGAACTACATGGAATTCATAAACAAGCATCAGTTGGCTTTCTCACTCTTATGGAATCACTGCGCTACTGCAAGGTACAAAACATACACGCTTTTTTTTTTTTTATCCTTGTGGAGACTTTGCCTGGACTTCCATTCAATTTCCAGTCATTTCTACAGCCTAACACTGACTCCTTACCCTAAACCTATCCACCAAAGTACACACATTACCCTAAGCTAAGCTCAATTCACACTTTAGTCCTAACTGTAATCCCTGACACACCAATGGTATTTCCCACGATGGGGTCCCAACTTTTTCCCGCATAAAGAACAGTGGCTCCTCACAAAACTGTGTGCATACTGGGAAAATCAGAGTCAAAAATCACCAGGTAACAGAAATATATAGGTTCACAGAATATCAGTGAGTAAAATCCAGTTGTTCGCTGATTAAGTCTGCAGAGAATTTGGGTTTTGTTTTCAAATAGCTTAGGTTAGTGCTATTACTCAAACTGATTCTGATTAATATTGAAATGTTTACTGTTACTTTGAATTCTGCAGGGTTCCTACAGATCCTTAAAAAAATCTTAAAAGACTTTGAATTCATCAATCCAAAAATAAGCCCTTAATTAGCCTTAAAATGTCAAATCAATATTTCAGAGGTCTTAAATGTTAAAACATTGCTAGTAGTGTGACTAATTCATCTCAAATATTAAAATAATAGGTAACATTTATTTTTTAAAATAATCTACCAAATACCTCTTGAAAAATTTTCACTGTTTTTGGTTAAATTGTCTTAAAATTTATTTCAAGTGGCATTAAAGAGGTATTAAAAAGTCTTAAATTTAACTTGCCTTAAGCTGTAGGAACCTGTTCTGAGACTTGAGTTTTTCCAATTCGTGAAACAGAAATCAAAGCGCAAGCTCAATGTGTAAAACATAAATGAATAGAAACAAGAGTAAACTCGCCACTCTTGCCATATTATTTTATTTTCGTACATGTGTACCTGCTGTATTTAAACAAATGTTTGTAAAAACTAAGTCAAACAAGTAAAAACAAAACAAAAGTGACATTTATGCTGTTCTTGATAATCCTAGGTCCTTTTTAAAGTATCGGCAACAAATAAGCCCAAAGAATTAATCTGATTTTGGGGGAAAAATATCAACTGAACAGACAAATCAAGCAGATTTGAAGGTTGATAAATAAATGTTTTATAAAATAACTGGATGGCTCCTAAGACTTGCTTGAAGTTCATAATATCTTGTATAATATGTAAATGTGTTTTAATTCAATAGTTTTGTTGCTTTCTTAGATCTCTGTATAGTAGCATGCCATTTCTTTGTAGAACAGACACATTAGATCAGAAGCAATTACTAATTCATTACAGTATTTGCTGAAAGTAGACACTCATTTGTTACACGTTCCTTTTTCTGTCTCTGTTCATGTATTCGTCTCAGGTCGGAACATTCCTCAAATCTCCAAAGTTCCCTATTTGGATTCTTGGCAGTGAAACTCATCTCTCCGTTTTTTTCACCAAGGCAAGTTCAGTACACTCATCCATAAGGGAGCCAACACATATTTCACACGCCAACACACCGTGTGTAACACAAGTCAGTCTTCTCAGCAGGTTACAAAAAACAAAAGTAAGGAATATGCTTAAGAGATTTAATATAGCTCAGATCAGATATTAAAGTAGGGGGGAAAAAGAGAGAGTGAGGGGAAGGGAGGAATACGAGTGCAGGAGATTGACATATAAGGCCGGTGCTGTTTTTGGCCATCCACCAAACATTAAGCCAAAAAGAAAGCTGACTTTCTAAAGATAAATCCTACAAACACAAACTCACCGTCATCATTGTTCTGTCTTCTCTCATCACTAACTTACATAGTTCTGTTGTTCAGTCATAACCTAAACGATGTACTTGTCATAATTTGTTAGGTAAACTGCTCAATTTAGACTTTACTAACATCTCCCTTCACTGTCGGCTCATTTTTAACTACATAAATTCATGTTGTAGCACTTTTATAAACTTTAAAGTATAAAGGTTTTTCCAAAGCAGCTCTAAAGTAATTCAGTTTATCTTGACATGTCATGTGTGGAGGCCTAGTTTTAATAAAAATATGTCTAAAATGTGTATTATGAAAATCTTGATGGTTTTACTATTTAATTAACTTTGGCAAACAGTGATCTATGTGGTTATGCAGTCTTTACTTTGATATTTTGAAATTTCAGTGTATCCTTGTTAGGGTTGGACATAATGGTATCGTGTGCAATTAATCGTCAGAAAAACATTAATCGATTACATTTTGGCACTTGACGATTAATATGATTAATGTCACAAGGCAGACTGACTGGGGATTACTCCGGTTTAGTCTGCTCGATGCTCCTCTCCACTTCAAATATGACGAACATTTAAACAAAAGTTCTGTATTTATTTATCTATCAACACAATTTTAAATTTGACGTATAGCCCGAAGTCTGTAATTTTGGCACAATTTGGAACAGATTTTTACAAAGAGCAAATCTTACCCACTAAATTGGTCATGTGACTAGGACATAAGAGTGTCCAGGAACTCCAGGGGATTAATCGTTATCGGCTAAATACCACAATTAATCGTGATTAATTTTTTGCAAATATTGCCCAACCCTAATCCTTGTTAATAACTGTAAAAAATAATAATAGTAATTCTTTGTGCTTTACTCTGGGTTTATGCAGTTTGTACAAGTGGTTTTTTTATTAACCAAGTGATTTTTGATGCCTTTCTGTTCTTGACTTGACTTTTCTGTACGAGTGTTTCAAGATTGTTGGATACTAGTGTGTATCTGAACGTACGGATAAGGTAGAAATCACTCTGCTACTGAGGTTTTGAAGATCTTTAATAAAAAAACATCCATCCATCCATTTTCTTTACCCACGTTTCCTTTTGGGGTGTCGGAAGACCTGGTGAGAGACTCCAAATTTTCTGCACTCCAAGATATTTTGGGAATACAGCAATGTCTTTAACAACTAAAAAGGGTTTTTTTTTGCATGATATGTCCTCTTTTAAGGCCAATTCTTCTCTTGTGAAAGTTGTGAAATATGTGAAAGTTCTCAACAGAGAAAATGTAACATTGCTCACAGCTAAAGCAAATGAATTACCGGTAAAATGAGCAGTTTATCAAACCAGTTCTTCCTGCTTCTATGGAAATCAAAAATGCAAGAGAGAAAAAAGGTCGAGGCATTTATCTCCATCCAACACCACATCCATTAATACAGCATTGATTAAAAGCTCGGTTCCACGATTAAAGCTCTGTCCTGCTCGGTGAGTGTATCATGTGTTCACTCGGTGATGAACCAAAGTCGTTGTGTACACTCTAATGACTTAGCGATTGTAGCAACTCCCCCACAGCTGGTGACATGTCTTTACATACGTTGCAGAGCAGAGGAAATCTAATCCTGATTAGCATTAGTGTGTGTGTGTGTGTGTGTGTGTGTGTGATTTCAGGTGGATGGCTTACAGTAAGGAATGTGATTCCAAAGTTTTCATCTGGATCCATTTGTTCCGCTGCACACCGGGAACACACACACATGCATGCGTGCTGACGTGCACAGCTGTCTCTGCACTGAGCTTGTAGTCATTTGCTTAACAATTTGACAACCAAGCTGAAGGGGGGAAGTGATGGAGCAAGGTTGCTTTGCCCGTAAACCTGACAAAGTTTGACATCATCTGTTTATTGTTTGTTTTTTTAGAGCAAATTCAKTTTAATTTAAAGCACATTTTCTTGGGCTTTGTGATACAAAAATATACGCAATTCGGTTATGCTGCTTTTAGCACCGATAAAGAGCCATTCCCACACAAGGAGACAACTTGATCCCTGCCTCTGATGTGACGGTGGCTCCTTCTTTCAGCCACAGGGGACACCTGTTTGTTCCCCTGAGTGTTTATCAGAATGTGACTATGGCTTTTAGACAGTCAGCCTAATAACATTTTTGTGTTTTATCTAATCTACCTACACAAAGGCCATTTTGGTTCCCTTTCCACATATATGTGCCCTTGTGAGGAAGAGCTGAGGGCAGGGGTCTGCAACCTGCGGCTCTTGGGCCACATGTGGCTCTTTGGTCCCTCTGCAGTGGCTCTTTGAAAATGTGACCAAACATAACAGAATGTTTTTTTGCTGTTGTATAATGTTTTTTTAATGCATAAAGTAAGACCTGTTAGCTCAGGGGTCTTTTACAACAGAGCCATTTCTGTTGCTTGGCTCTCTAATAAAATGTGTCCAGAGCCGCAAAACAAGCTACAACTGTGATTATCAATTGTTGGTCCTTGGGCATTTTGGAGGCCTTTTCAGGAACCTTTATGGCCACCAGGTGACATTATAAAACTAAACAATATTATGTGAATTTTATTATTTATTATTTTTACACGTCAGGACAAATAAAAAGACCAGATTCATGTAAACAAGAAAAATGCTTTAGTTTACTCCGAATTTCATAAAAACTAGTAAAACTGAACTCTTCGAGCATTTGCTTTTTCTAATTCTTCTTATTACGTAGCCTTGAAGACATTTAAAGATAAGCCTGATGGATTTGAGAGAAAAATCATAGAAAGAAGTTGGATTATTTAAGTAAACAAGAGGCTAGCATGAGCTAACAGGTCTTACTTTATGCATTAAAAAACATTATACAACAGCAAAAAACATTCTGTTATGTTTGGTCACATTTTCCAAGAGCCACTGCAGAGGGACCAAAGAGCCACATGTGGCCCAAGAGCCGCTGGTTGCAGACCCCTGTGTTAGCTCATGCTAGCCTCTTGTTTACTTTAATAATCCAACTTCTTTCTATGATTTTTCTCTCAAATCCACCAGGCTTATCTTTAAATGTCTTCAAGACTACATAATAAGAATTAGAAAAAAACAAATGCTCAAAGAGTTCAGTTTTACTAGTTTTTATGAAATTCGGAGTCAACTAAAGCATTTTTCTTGTTTACATGAATCTGGTCTTTTTATTTGTCCTGATGTGGAAAAA